GACTGAGGCTCACCATGGACACCGACACTGTAGAAGCTGAATTCAGCCACTAGCACAAGCATAAAAACTCAAGTGTGGTGGTATATGCTTATAATTCCAGTGCTTGGAGGAGAGGCGGAGACAGGGAAATCCCCTGGGGTTCACTCACCAGCCAGACTACCCTAATCAGTGAGCCTCAAGTCCCAGTGAGGAAGCTTCTCTCAAGAAACAAGGTGAACAGCTCCTGATATAGCATATGTGAGGTTGACTTCTGGCCTTCACATGCAGATTCACACTTATGCACACATGAATATGTGTTCATGTACACACACAAACACTCACATATGTGCACACATGTGTACACAAACACGCACACATATATGAACACACACAAGTATGCACACACATGTATATGTATGCACACACACACACAGAGGTGGGTGAGGGCTGGGATTCCTGGGGTGGATAATAGAGCCTCAAACTAAAGACTCAGTTTCTCCCTGTTCTCTGTGGACTTCCGTGGACTTCTGTCTCTGTGTCAGACCTGAGGTGGGCAGTGTCTCGTGGTCCCCTCTCAGGGATAGCACATTTGCTGCTCATCCTGCGTTCCCTTCCTCTGGCTAGGGCTAGACTCAGGTTCCCCTCTCACGAACAGACCACGGTGAGAGCAGCAGTACCCGGCCTCTATGATGAGGCTGTGGAATGGCTGTGATGTATGTTTGGCTCACTTGTCCGGGCGTCTTAAGTTCGCTGCTATGTTGTGAGCTGTGCTGTGTCTATGTGGTGAGGAACTCAGATTTCTAGTCAAGAGCCTTGCGAATGAGCCAAATGTTCCCTCATCGGTTCTGAGATGACCTCAGGCTGTCTTGACCACAGTTCCTGAACATCCTATGCGAGGGAGACCGGCGGGCTACTTCCAGATTCCTGGAACAAGGAAATCATACGTACTGCTTGTATCTGGCTGTGGCGTTTGGGATATTTGTTGTATAGCTACGTATAACTGATGCGCCTGAGTTGTCCTTCCTATTTCAATGCATTGACCTTGAAGTTGGAGTGCAGGGGTTCAAATGTTGCCTTTGCCATTTGCAAGTCACATGGTCTCAGTAGGTTAAGTTCTGTGTGTCTCAGTCCTTTCCTCTGTAAAATGGCACCAAGAGTAGCGACTGTACCATGGGGTCATTGTGTCGATCCTATGAGATAGTCCCTATGAATTGTCTTGGATACTGTAGCCCTGAGAAGACTTTGCCATTGCTAACATCACTACATCTGACACAGTCTCATGTCTCTTTTGGACTTCTGTCTTCCTTGGTCTCCCCTCCTCACTCCACACTCATGTTCTCAAAGCAGAACACTAACTTGTTCTTGGAAGGTCTCCGATGCATGGACGTTTTGACTCTGTAGGATGGCTACAAGACTCTGCAGAACATGCAACATGGGCTAAGGGGTTCAGCTAAATAAAACAAGCTCATGGCAAGAGACAGCATCTGCTTTGATCCCGTCTGGATCAGTGCTGGAGATGGGGGACCTGTTGGATACTGTGGGACCGGGGCCCGGCACTGTCGAGTGCAAAGCCATCTTGTCAAGTTGGATGGATAACCAGACAGGGATCCAGGGAGGCCAATGGCAGGAGGATGGATCTCAGTTCTGGAGTGAACAGCATGGCATGTGTGAGGGTTGGTTATGTGCTTGTTTGCTGAGTGGAACACAGAGCCAGACGCTCTTTGTGGACCCCTGAAGTGGCTGGTTGGCATTTGGATGATGGGACCGAAACTCAACAGTGTGATGGACAGAGAGAGCTGGAAGCCAGAGGAAAGGGTTTCGAATCAAGAATTTGTGCCCTGCCCTGGAACATCTAGCGGCATCTGCGTTCCCACAGCTGGGTTCACTGCTTGTCTGTGCGTGACTCTGCTTTCCAGCTTGCTTCTCACTGGGTGGTAGCTCACTGGGAAGGCCTTCAAGAAGATTGGCAGCAGGCAGGGAGAACAAGGATCTTGGCTGCCAGAGACAGACATCCGCAGCTCCACCTCCTGCCACAGGCAGAGGAAGCAGTTGTGTCATCTCCAAAGGTTTGGGGTGCTGGGGAAAGTGAAGTGACAGGAAGGCTGGCTTGGGTCCCGCCCAGTTGAGCCCTGGGGAGATAACAACATTTTTGGGGTCTTGGGCTCCTAAGACCTCAGTTGTCAAATTCCTTGTAGCACCCAGGCCGCCATCAGAATTGCCCACTTAGCAGCCTGTGAGTAGGGGCTAGAGATCCATCTCCCAGCATGCCTTTCCTGAGCATCTACTTTGTTCTGAGCTGCTACAGGATGGCAAAGGGCTGAACAAACCAAGTCAGAGTGCCTGAGCTCATGGCTCCGAGTATCTAGGAAGATGGATCTCGGTATAGGTAGTCCCAGATCCTAGAATGAATGGAATTGACCAAGGACATGGATTCTTGGCTCAATGACTTGGAGTGTTCCTAGCAATTAGCGGGTGAAAGCTGAGGCTGTCCTATAGTTCACTGTGTCTCATGGCAAAGAGTGACCGTGTTCAAAACTATGTCTTTGGGAACTCCTAGCCCAGTGGGAGAGTCAGGTGTTAATTTGCTACACAAATGAGTGTCACACGGTACCAGGACTGTGAAGGAAGCTCAGGAAATCACAGGACAATGCTGGACTCCTTCCCTTTGATGCCAGCTGGGCCTGGAGAATGATGCTCTCCACACTCAGGGTAAGCTTTCTAGTCACAGTGAATCCTCTCTGGAGATTCTGGAAATGCTCTCAGAGACACATCCAGAAGTGTACTTTCCCAGGCATTTCTCAACCCATTTAATTGATAGCCATGACCAACCATCATTTTTATCCATAGGATAAACTAGATTCTAGTCCTCTCTACTTTTGTAGAAAGGCTGAGAGTGGCTTAGGACCCAAAGCCATACAGGTCCACAGACTGGAGATCTACCTAGGCACAGCTAACTGGTGCCCAACCCGGGAGTCCATGCCTTAACCTCGCATTCATTCCCAGTCATAGTTATCTGGTTTTCATAGTTTTCTGGCTATCATGACCAATACTTGACCAGAAGTCAAGGAAGAAAGGATGTATTTGGGCTGATCAATTTGAAAGTATAGTTAGTCATGGTAGAGAAAGCATGGTGGCAGGAACATGTGACTCTTTGCTCATTTATCTGTGGACCAGGAATCTGAGAGGGGACAGGAACTTGGGTAGGACTTTAACGCTCAAGGCCTGCCTCCCCAGTGATCCTCTTCCTCCAGAGCCCCCCCTCCCCCGTCTTAGTTATATAATAGCTGTGATAAAAACCCATGACCAAAGCAACTAGAGAAGAAAGCATTTATTCTGGCTTTCGGTTTCTGAGTCTAGAATCTGTGACACCGGAGAGAAGAAACAGCTGAGAGCTCACATTTTGATCCACAACCGTGAGATGGAGAAAGAACGCTGGGAGCCTTTTGAAACCTCAGAGCACACCCTCTGTGGCACACCTCCTCTATTAAGGGCACACCTCCTAATCCTTCCCAAACTATTCCACCAGCTGTGGATCAAGTATTCAATAGAGGAGCCCAGGGGGGTCATTCTTATTCAAGCCTTCACAGCCTCGCCTCTTAAATGTTCCAGAAACTTAACAGATAACACCCCCAGCTGGTGACCAAGCGTTCTAACACAGGAGCCTGGGGGAGGGGGGACTTCTCATATCCAACCTGTAACACTCAACAACCCTCTATTCCTCTTGCCTCTAGATGAGACCGGTCACTGCCTCTTCTGGGTCCACTGAGAAGGTAGGAAGTTCTGTAAGTAGGAAGAGCTGTCTTCTAATATGCTCTGAGCGTGAGACTTGGGTGCTCGGGGCAGTTGACTCTGCTTTGCTAGTCCTAAATTTGCCTTTAGTGATGAAATTGGCCGAGGCAGGGGGGTTTACGCCATATAAATTGGCACAAGCTAAAGCCAGAGCTACTTTTAACTCCCCTACTCCCTGGAACTGACTGTTGCACATCTACGCCACACCCCTAAGACCTAGGAACACCGAGGCTTGCTCAGTGGAAACCGCCACCTCAGACAAGCCCCCTGTCTGGATTGAATGCCAGGAGGCATCTGGCAACCTTGAAGTCTTCTCATTTTTGCCATGGGTCTGGAAGTCTTCTGTTTCTCAAAGGCTGTGGTGGCTCAGACTCCTGTTTCCTGGGCTCTTGGGGTCTGCAGCAGGGGGGCATCAGGGCTGCTTCCCACACCCTTTCTGAGTGTGGAGTAAGCTGTAGTGACCTCTGGTTCTTTCCCTCCACATCCACACAGCAGCCGCCGAGGGCACCAGCCTCTCAGAGTTGACATTTCTGCTTGCCAGCACATAGTGCGAATTAAGGATGGACAGAGACATCGCTTAAAGTGACAGGGGAGGCAGAGGCCCCTCCGGTCCCCCAGAGACAGATAGGCCGTGCCGCGTTCTCTCTGTAGAGCACCTGCATATGCCGGGGTTCTCCCAGGGCAGGTCCCCGTGTTTGCTCCATCTGATAAGGAAACTGGGGTGCAAAGAGGAAGTAACTTGACCCAGACGTACACTGTGAAGGGAGGATACGAGAGCTTCTCTCGGTGTGGCAGGGCGGGGAGAGGTGGGGGTAGAACCTGGGTCTGGTTTCCACATTCTTCCAGGCTCGAGGACAGAGATAGACTCCGGACCTGCACAGTAATGTTCGGACCCCTTGTGGGTGTCTACACCTTCCTGACTCTGACTCTCATTGCTGTCCTCAGGTCTAACTTCTCAGTTGTGTATCGGTCCCCGGCTTCTCCGAGGCACACTGCAGCAATTGGAAAGGTCCCGAGGCCTTGGATTTGCTATGTCTGTGAGCCACCTAACAAAGTGAGGCCAAGCATGGGGTGGGCACCAAAGTTCCTCCTGGCCACAGCTGATGCCTAAGTCCCTTATTCCTTCATCGAAGCCCACGATGCCCACGCCAACAAACTCATACATTTCCCCATTCAGCTGTTGGTGAACACTGTGCTATTTTAAGCCCACATGGAAGTATTTTTTTTTTTTTAGGACCATCTGCTACCGGCCCCAGCCCAGATGATACAGTTGGAGCCTACCCACAGCATCCTCTCCCGCCTTCAGACAGTTCCAGGAAGGAGAGTGAGTCAGACCCAGCTGAAGCCTGTCTTGTCAACCCAAGCAGTAGCCCAGGGGCCCAGCACAGGGGGCCACCTGCTCACGGGGGCAGGTGCTCTCCGCACAGCAAAGGGATCTCACCCTGAGCCTCATGGGCGTTCAGGTCCACCCTTCCAGGTGTGCCCCTTCCCTTTCCAAGGGACTGCAGCCAGTCCTGAGTTCAAGCGCAGCTGCAGCTGTTGCTCCTTGCTATGGCAGCTTGTCACAAACAGGGTCACAGTGAAGCTGGTGGCTCAGGACTTGGTCACTTCCTGCCGTGGAGGCTCTTGGAAGAGCTACTGGATCTACTTTGGGTGCCGAAAGGGTGGATGCCATCAGAAAAGGGGCTGCCAGCGGCAGTGTCTACTTGGGCCCCTGAGAAGATGCTTTGAAATATTAGTGCCTCTGGGTGCCATCCAGCTATAGATCCAGGCATAAGCCGTAGTTCCCCAGCCGGCTGCTCTTCCTTAGCAACTGATGGCTCATTGTGAAGAGAGGCCGTTGGCATCCAGGGCCCAGGGAGGACACTGCTCACACACCTGACTTACAGGTCATGCTGTGCAGAGCTCCAGCTACCAGAGTCCTTGGTCTCTATTTGCTCTTCTGTACATACAGGATAACCTGACCCATCTCCTAGGATGCTTATGAGTGTTAATGAGGACCACAGATGGGAAGGGTCTGTTCTGCTGCCCAATGATCACGGTTTGTATAATTCTGAATTGCGACGGTGCTGAGTCTGCTGAGAAGCTGTAGGGAGCTGGGGGTTGGAGCCTCTGAATTTATCGCCATCCTCATGGACTTGAACCTTGGTCCTTCCTTGCCTTACAACAGGTCATTTCTTTTTTTCCTCTGCTGGGACCCTCATTAGAGAGTTCACGGGTTATGGTTAATTTGATTCCATGAGTGACTGCCCTGGCCTGGCTGGTCCATCACTTGCAAATTATCGTAGCTTTTGCCTCTGTCTGTGACTGGGAACCTGGGAGCCCCAGAGGCCAGACTGGGCTGGGTATTTTTCCGAGGTCCCCTTCTCCTCCAGTGGATATGGCTGTGCCTGGGTGAGTTTGTGTCGGGTGGAGCCTGGCCTCGCTGTGCAGTCAGGGCAGCAGTCCCCGCCATGGGTCCTGGAGTCCCGTTGGGGCCCGGCCTGGAGTCCTGCTGGCCTAACTTCCTGCTCTGGACTCTATCTGCTGCTCCTGTAGAGCCTTGCAGTTTATCTGTGGTCAGTTTTTCGCACCCATTTCCTGCCAGCTGCTACTGGTTTTTCAGTCAGCTCCCAGGGCTAGGGTAATGGGGAAAGTGCACAGACTACCGTCCGTCCGAGTGATTCACCAGCTGTGGCAGGCAGGCGGGATGTGGAGACTGGGGCATACCCTGTGGAGGGCAGAGAGGGGCACCGTCCCTCAGCCTGGGTCTGTCCCCTGGACCTCTGTGAGTAACACAGAGAAGACCACGCGGGGCACACACTCATTGTGAGCCAAAAGCTGGTGCTTATATATGTGTGGCATAAGGGATTTTTTTTTTTAAACTGAAGCCAAAATAAATGGTCTTTTGAGAAGTCTGAGCATGGCTCCTTTCAAGGGGAACCCTAAGCTTTCTCTCTGAGGTGTTCATGGGTGAGCGTGCCACGCTCTGATTAGGCTATCTGATCACACACAAATTTTTGTTTTTTGGCATTTCCAAAACCTGAAGAGAAGGAAATTCCCTCACTGGGGCAAATTACTCCTCCGGACTGAACACTCTGAACTCATGAACTCATTATTCTCATCTTGTTCTGTGAATCAGGGCTTTGGAGTTGCCCGCATGCTGGCGGTCACCACCCAAGGATAGCCCTCTATCCGGAGACTTCTCTGCAGGGGTGGCGCCCTGGGTGGACAGCAGAGTCCCCAGGAGGTGAAACAGGGACTAGAGGGGGCAGTCACCTGGGAACCATTGTGTAAATGAGAAGTAGGGTGCCAGGTCTGGCTCCTGGTCTCAGGCCCAGGACCTGGGGGATTGGGCCAGCCATCTGGCTTCTACTACCTCTCAGCCGGCCTTCCATATTACATCATTAGTAGATTTTATTAATCGGTTAGTAGGTGAGAATTGTGAAGAATAAAAGTTAATTGCGCAGTGGAATCTACACATTTACTGCCTCTTCTTGGTTTTACCAAACTCCGGACAAGACCTAGCCAAGGACTTCCTGACACCTGGTGTCCAGCCAAGTCCTTTGTATCCGGGTCTCTTAGCTTACGGCAGGCAGATGGAGTAAAGAGGTAAAGTGCCCCATGCCTGTCTGCCCCGGTGGGGTCTGATGGAGGAAGGTGGCCACGCTGGGCTCATCAGCTTGGTGAGATGGTGGGCGGGGGTTGGAAGAGGGGGAAAGACTAACACAAAGACTCTGTGTGGACTGGTTAGTTCTAACTGTCAATTCGACACAGCCTAGTATCTGGTAAAGGAGTCTTAAATGAGAAATAATATACAGTGGATTGTGGACTGGAATCTACATTCCCAGACCTTAGTTTTATAGAGTTAGACAGGGTTGTCCCAAGTCCCAGGGCTATGTAGCAGGCTTCTTTCTAGGCCCCAGGTTTTACACAACCGGTTTTCTTACTGAGCAGTTTTTTCTCTGCTGACTTTGGAAGGGCAGTGTGTCAGGTCAGCTGGAAGCTCACAGAAGCCCTTGTATGGAGTTAACATAGGCCGCTTGGTGCCTGTCCGGATATACCTGTGGAGCTGTCCCCCACATCAGATGGTGTGGTCCAGCTGCAAGGTCTGGGTAGTTAGACTCTGCCTGGTGTGAGCGCCAGTTCCCTGTGTCACAAGGCTTGCCTCCGCCTGGTGTGAGCGCCAGTTCCCTGTGATACAAGGCTTGCCTCTGCCTGGTGTGAGCGCCAGTTCCCTGTGATACAAGGCTTGCCTCCGCCTGGACTCATCATCTTTGCCATGGGCTGATAACTATCTTTTCTGGTTCCACAAAAATCTCTTGGGTCACGTCACTGGCCAGGATGTCATAAGCCTACCAGGTTCCAGATATATTTTCTAATTTTCTCTCTGAGGCTGTTCAGGTTATCTATCACCTGCCAGTGCCTGCCAGTTTCTCTGCAAATCATTGTCTTGTGTGTGTGTGTGTGTGTGTACTTGTGTGGGCACACGTGGGAGAGTGTGTGTGTACTTGTGTGCATACAGACGTCACAGTACAACCTCATCTGTTGTTGCCTCTCGCTGAGATGGATTCTGCTACCTCCTTGTACCCAAGGGTACTTCCTTCATCAGCCTCCCATTTCAGATGCCCAAAGGGTTATGGGGAGCAGGGGAGGGACCAGTACCAGGGCGACTGGGAATCCTGATCCTTGCCACACTCTGCCTCTTAGATTGGATGGCAGACTTCTCTTCCTGAACCCAGCTTCACGATGGTGCCTCCAGGAAGACTTCCCTTAGCTCCCTTTGGTCTCATAGTGTGGGCTATTTCTTTTCATCCATAGGCTGTTTCAAGGTGTGGTGTGGCCGTGAGGCTCATTTCTGGTCACAGTGGGCAGGCAAGCAGGGTGTTTCCCGCTCTGGGGGAGCAGGAACTACTTGGTCCTTGGTCCCATATCACTGCCAACCCCATCTCTCTACAGTGTAGGATCTACACAGAACTTGGAGTTTCTGTCCCAGGGACCACGCAGGAGGCTGATAGCAGTGGCATTGTTACGGAGCCTGGGACCGTGAAGATGCCCTTTGGAGGCTTAAAGCAGACGAGGGCTGAGTGAGAAGGCATGGTAGAAAGCGCTCAGCACAGTTCCCTTTAAATGGAAGCCTGGCGTTCCTGCTTGTGCAGGGTGCTGGGGAAGGGAGGGTCTGGGAGGCCACTCTAGAGGAGCAGGGAAAGCCACACTGAACTGGCGTCACTCAGGGGGTCTGGTGCTTCTAGCAGGGGAACTGGGATCTCCCAGAATGTCAAGTTGGGCACAAGGCTTTGGGTTCTTTCTCTAGAAGCTCCGTGATGGCAAGGAGTCTGGGTTTCTCAGAAGGTCGGGGATAGCAGTACTCACCAGGTAGCTAGTTGGCAGGCTTAACCCACACCTTCAATGCCCAAATCTTTTGCTCTCTGACTTTGGAGGCTTCGGGTTGTGGACTGAGCCACCTGCCCAGTCTTCGTTCAGAGCCCAGAGAAAGGCAGCCAGGAAACGCGGGTCGGGAAAAGCCCCAACCCAAGAAAGCATTCAGACATAAGCCCATTCTCACTTCACCACCCCTAACCTCTCCTCTGTCCTCCAAGTTTTTCAGCCTCATTGTCCCTGGGATTACAGCCTGGGGAGTAGGCAGAATGTGGTGGGCAGAGATCTCAGTGCTGCTGTTGAGTTTGTCTTTGGGTTTATGTTTGCCCAAACCCTACCAGTCCAACCTCTTCCTCCTTTGGTGGATGGGATGAGCTTATCTACAACCCAATTTAATGCCAGGTAGAAGGAAGGAAGGAAGGAAGGAAGGACGCTATGTCCTGGGCCCCTCATTGGGTTCCATCTTCCGTCCCTTCTATGGACTCCTTGGGCATTATGGACCCTGACCCTCTATCTTTGCTGAGCTCTCTGCCCGCCGCCCTGGTTGTCTTTGGAAAGCCTGATGTCCCCCCATCCTCTGATCCCCATCAATTAGCCTGAGCTCCAAGATGCCACTCTGAGGTCCTCCTATTTGGGTGTCACTTGAAATGCTTGTCTAGGCCAGACTTGGACAAATCTCTTCCATTTCCTGGCTTGAGGGTGGGGGAGGTTTCTCATGAAGCGTGAACAATGGCCTAACGGATCTCGAGATAGGTGATATCTATCAATGCCTCCAATCTGCACCCTTGCCACTCTGTCTATGAAGATTAGATAGTGAGAGCATGGTCAGCAGACTCCAGATGCCTAATATCTCCTCCCCCCTTGTCCGTGCTCACAACGTGTGAGCAGTGTCTGTGAGACAAATGACTGGCATGTTCCAGCCCTTTCCATCGACTCTTCCACACGCACTTCCGCCAGGCAAGTTGA